TAAAGTATGACCCGTTAAATCTCATGTTGGCTGCATTGTTCTTATGGAGAGTTGAGTTAATATGAACTCGCTTCCCCAATTCGGTGCTCAATACTACTCCCAAAATATACTTAGCTCATATGTTTGTAAAAACAAAACTCTTTCTTTGAATTGATATAATTACTCAAAACTTAGCCCAAAGGCTCTCTTGGAATCGATGTTCCCTTTACTAAAAACTAGCCTAAATGCTCTTTTGGAAATCATAGTTCCTTTCTTGCTCAAATGTGAAAACTTTTATAAACTTCTTTGGGAATACTTAGTTCCCTAATAACTTTTGAGAAATGAACTCAACTCTTTACTCTTTACTTTACTTGAAACTTGAGCCTTAAAATGAAGTTTAAACGTTTAATAAAGACTCTTGAAAACTTTAAGAAACTTTGCTTTGACTTGCTTCTTAACTTCTAGACTTGACTCTTAACTTCTTTGACTTTGATTATGAATTCAAGGTTCATGATTTCATGTTTATGGATGATTTCATGATGTTTAGATGTACCTTAGAGTGTTAAAATCAACTAGGAAACATAGGTACATCACTTGGGAACTAGTACGAAAAGGTGGAGAACGAATGAGGAGAACTGGCGTCCCTAGCGCTCTGAGAGGCGCAAGGCGCCAACCCTCAATATTCAGAGACCAGTCTGGGAGTGCTGGCTGGCGCGGCGCCCCAAGGGTGAACATTCAGAGACCCTTTTGGGGCGCGCTAGCTGGCGCGACGCCCCACTCCTATACCCAGGTGTTTGACGACTTTGCTTCTCTGTTTTTCATCTCTAAACCGTCTAAACTCTAATGGTTCTTTCCCCAAACACTTAGGATCATTAGTACCCTCAATACCCAATAGATTTAACTTCGAAAAACAACCCGGAAACACGAATCAAATCAACACTAGGCATTCAACAATCAACCAACAAGAATTCAACAATATTTTTCAAGAACTTCACTTTTTAACATGTGAACAACCCAAAATACGCTGAATTGAAACAAGTAGGTGTGTGGATGAACTAACCCATCACTAGAAGATCTCACATACCTTAATAGGGATCACCCTCGACGAATTCCACTTCAAACGCTTGACGTTCTTGGCGAAATCTTGGCTTTTCTCCCTTTCTTTCTTCTTTTCTCTTTTCTCCAAGCCCTAAACGTATTTCTCAATTCTCCAAACTGAGTAAGTCATGTTTTTACCCCCAATAAATCCCTAAAAACGAATTAGGAAATTAATTAGAGAAAAGACTACCTTGCCCTTCCCTAAATCCGGATTGGGACTTTCCTCAATCCAACAGCCCAACTTCCGAAAGGCATATCTCACTCATACGATGTCGAAATTGTGCAAACTTGGTGGCATTGGAAAGATCTCTCCAAGGGATTTCCAACCATATCAAGAGCTGCTCCTAACTCATCCTGAGCTAGGAGTTATGGCCGTTTGAAAATGGTCAAAACTCACTTTCTTAACTCAAGACAATTTTCAGATTTCCTTATTCTTTCCAAAAATAAATATTTTCATATTTTAAACTCTTTATAGTCGTTTCTAGGTGCGAGATGTTACAATAATTAATAGGGGTAAAATGGTAAATTCACTATGTCAATTATTGTTTTCTTAATAGGTGTGTCAATTTAAAAATGGACAACTAATTAGGGACAGAGGGAATAAGTATCATTATCTTTTAGTTGGAATATGACTGTCAAATAGTGCCCTCTCTTTTTTTGTGTAGATAATTTAGTGTTTAATTTTGAAGAGATAATACATTTTTATTATTATTTAATTAGATTAGATGTTGTATTTATTACATTTTGAAAAGTGTAAGGGTAAAATTGTAATCTAACTTTGAAGATAGGTGCTTCCCACTTTTAGTAATATATATATATATATATGATAAACAATAGAAGAAAAAATTCTGAACAAACAGGTCATAATAAACAATGAAAAAGGACATTGAGACCACATACATCAAATTCAGACTAAACAATATATATTCACATACAAACAAATTCTTTATGAAAAAGGGCATTAGGACCAAGTCCTTACTACTATGCACGAATGAATAAGACACGAAATCACATGAATACTACTATTTAACTCAAATTATTCCCTAAATCTAACCTAACATAAAAGGATCACCATATACGAGACAAAATTCTTAAAAGATTACAAAAATCTAACTTACTCCTATGCATGATTGAAAAAAATACGAAACCACATGAATACTACTATTTTAATTCAAATTATTCCCTAAATCTAACATAACAGAAAAAGATCACCACCTACAAGACAAAATTTTCAATTGATTAAAAAATCACAACTCATCCCAATGCACAAACCAATCAAATCAAAAATCATATGAATACTACTATTTGAACTCAAATAAACAATTAATTTATTCTCTAATCTAACATACCTGAAGATTATACAAATCACAAACCCTAACTATGTTGCTTTGAAATCCTAAATACAATAATATAGGAAAAATGATTTACTATCCTACAACCACAAATATCCATAGATGCTAGCTACTTTGAAACCATAGCAACAAAGATAGATCGTAGCTACTTTGAAACCTAGCGGCGAAGAAAGATTGTAGCTACTATGAACCCTAGTAGCGAAATTAGACTGGTGAAAGGAAGCTTCTTTGAATCGTTTTTACGAAAAGGATTATTTTTAAAAAAAAAGCTACACCAAAACATATTATTAATATGGTTTAGTCTACATATTGAAAACTAATGTTAAAAAACATACTCTATTGAAAGAACAATCTCCTCATAAACTAAACTTTTAAACGACTACATTATGGATATTGTTGTGTTGATTTTTTTAAGAAAACAGAAATGTGGGAAAAGGATGAAATTAACTCTTAAAACGTCTATGTGCAAGTGGATGGGTGGGTGGGCGGGCGGATATGGAGGTCTATATGGCATATTAATAAACACATGAGATGCCACATAACTCTTCCATTGAAGAGAAGGATAAGCCTGATCGTCTAGTAAGCTGAAAAGGTTACTTTTGAGCTGAAAGATAATTTTAAGATACATTTAATCTTATTTCGAATAATTAAAAAGTAGTTTTAATCCTTTTCCGAACTAAAAATAATGTCTCGAGGGGGAATCAAACCTGGCCAAGAGACAAAAAGTTTCTCATCTTAATCTCCCACTTTCAACCACCAAGCCAATTAAACCATTATTTTCATAGTGCTCTCTAATAAATATATATACAATATATAGTTCGATAGAAGGTTAATGAGTGCTCAAACACCCTCCATGTGAATCCACCCTTGCTGCCACCTTACACAACTTGACACCTTAGTAGTTCAATTAACACAACTTGAATGAGGAGTACCATTTTCTTCAATTTCTTCATCTTTTGGAATTCATACAGGAATTAATAATATGATAAAATAAAGTACTATATACTTAACATGAAATATGGAAGTTCAACTAAATAGGAAGATAATATGTTAAAAAAGTTCCCCTGCACCTCCATGAAGTTCGACATCTCACTCTGTACACCGAGATCAGTTGCTTTTCGACATCTGGCTCAATACACCATTGCCTTGTGGAAACTCCAATATTCTATTGAAAAAGCTGAAATGCCAAGACACAAACTCGAAACTCGGGGCAGTCCACGAGAAGCCAATCAACTGGAAGACAATAAGAGACTTGGCTAAGATCACATTCAGAATTCAAAGACTGCACAACAGTGAGTCTTCAAAAACATCAACAAGAACAGCAGTTCCTGTTCCAGAACCGACGCCACCAAGATAGAGCAACGTTCAAGCATAAGAGAACATTTTCCTAAAAGGAGCCAAAACTCTGTTGAACATTCAAGTTGATGATTTACAACGAAGTGCAATTTCTAGCATAATCATACACAAATCCAGTATCAAGCTAAAATTTGACAAACTAACAAGACAAAAGTAGACGATAAGAAAATACAGACCAAACAAAGTACGTTCTAGCACTTTACTTTATTCCCACAATCGACATAAGAAACTGAAGCTTGTCATTCACTTCTTCCAAAGTGGACGGGTTATGGAACGTAGATGGGGGCTCGACTCCAGTAAAGATGTATAGCGCCTTTAGTTCATCTACCAACAAAGGTTGAGTGGCTACTGTGTATCCCACGATTGTTCTCATTGCGTTCATCTTCTCCCATATCTTCTCCTCACTGGAGAACTCCTAGCAATATCATCAAGCAAGTAAAAATGAATCCAAATGGCTTCAAATACTCTAGCCACAGAATGAAATAAATGAATATTACAAGCAGTTAGTACAAAGGAGACCAGATATGAAAAATCGAACATGGGAGAGAAAAGTGTTCGTGCATCTTGCCTTCCATCACGGATAAAACTATAGCACGCGACAACCTCTTTAAGTGAAAAAGAGGGACTAACCTTGATATCACACATACCAGTATCAAAAATTGTAGGAGCAAGACATGTTCAAAAAATGCAACATTAGCATGGATTCTACAATTTGAATCATCGGTTATGATAATCACAGTACAGTAAGAATTGGAATAGCCATATATTCAATCACATGGACCTAAGTAGAGCACACAGAGAGGACGGACAGCCCGCGACCAATTTGAAACTGCAGGCTGGAGAATGACTGAATAACATTAATTATACATGTCTTAGAATCAAAAGTGTATACATGAACACACGTTTCCATAAGTCTCTCTTTGATGCTGCTTCGCAATTGGTTTGAATGAACAAAAAAATACATGCCACAGGTGCGGAACTTGATTAGTTGCTCTTGGAACACTCATCCCCACTAAGCCCATTAGTTTTTCTTTCTTTAAAAAGCTATCTATTGATTCAAGAAGGCACAGTACATCAAATATAAACCTGGCACACAAGTATTGCTTTACTAGTCTTGTAGTATTCTTCTTTTATTACTCCACAGTACCTTTGGGAATGCCAAAAAAACTGGTCATCTTTCTCTTAATACATAATATATGATATAGAGTTCATAGAAACAATCCTGAATAACTTAGGGATAAAAAACCAATACTAAATAAATCTAAGTTCAAAATGAGGAAAACAGATTGAAGCTTGGTAAATAAAAATGCATTGATATCGATTTGCTAGACCCCAAGTATCTTTGCAAGTTCTGTACAGCTTTTGTAGACTAGTAGGGTTGCATTTGTCATGCAATCACATTCTTCTACACTCTTACTTCCACTTTCTAGACCCAGAAAAAGATCTTAGAAGGTTCCAAAAATAAAATTGAAAACTCAGAATCTTCATTTACCCTCACCCTATTAAGAGACAATCTGGCATGCATCCCAAAGCTAAAAGAATATTTTGACATCTAGATTGCCAGCGGACACTTTGATGAGTGCTGAGTATAATAACCCACCAAGGCTGGAGCAAAATGGGCTCATACTGAGCTGTAGTGGAGCATCCCGTGCATGACCACCAAGGAATGTAAAGAGTAATGCGAGAAATGAAAGAGCACTAATAACAATGGGAAAGAGAAGCCAAACTAATGGAAGAAATGAAGTAAAAGTTGCACCCTCTCTACTAAGAGAACCTATGTGCTTGCTTGAGATTCACAAAGAACGAGATCGGGTGAACGAGAAACTACTTTACTTGAGCATTGGCAGAGAATTAGACTGTTTATGCAACTGCAGTTTCTTTTGATTAAATTCATGAATAGTAGCATTTCTTGCTAAGGATTTTTTCTTTCACGAGGTAAATTAAGCAATCAACAGTCTGAATAATTCCCAGTATCTAATCAAAGAATTTTTTCAATAAGCATACTAAATGAGTCCAGCTAGGTTAACCTAAACAGAGGCGTATCTAAGGGGGGTCACCGGGTTCACGTGAACCCATGGTCCCCTCCCGAGATCATATATAGTAGTGTTATAATTTTAAAAAATATTGAAATATAGATGCATGAACCCACACTTCAAGTATCAGATAATGCGATTATGACTCGGTACACCTCTCTCCACGAGGTTAGAAAGTTGAATTTTATATTTATCTTGTTTTATTTTTCTTTCTAAAATTAGATAACACTTTTCTAAGTGGTAATTGGTATATAAGAATTAATTTTAGACCTATAATTTTAAAATTTTAACGGTTTTCAATAGTAAAATCCTAAATGTCGAACCGATCAAATTTATATCATAGATCAATATTTATATAACAGCGCACCCATCATCTCAAAATCTTGGATACGCCTTTGAACCTAAACATGCTTTCAAATAGATTGACCAAATTTTCCAGAGAAACTTCAAAGAACCAAGAAAACTATGAAATATTAAAAGATAACCCTCTCCGAGTACCCCCATAAAATTCCGGAAAGCAACCTAAGGTGGCAGAACTAGACTTAAAACAATAGAACTGACCTTGGCGGGTTTGGCCTCTGGAATCCCTGCTCTTTCAGAAACCTGATTGACACCACCGGCATTGACATTTTTCTTTTGATCAGTGGTCCCTTTTCGTTCAGATGGAAGGTTCCCACGGACATCAGGTGCCTTCCTTTGAACCTCTTTTGCAGCTACCAGATTATCCTTGCCTTCCAATGGACGCGAAGCATCTTTTGCAACATGCTTGCCATTTCCTGAATCTCTGCTCCCGGGCAGTGTTTTGTCCATCTCAGCAGCTTTCTTGGCCTTTTTGGAAACACCACTTTGGTTGGCTTCGTCTCTTCCTTCTTTGGTCTCCCTTTTCACTGGTAAATGCTTCTCGTCATGCTTCACCTTAACTTCATCCTTTACCTCTTCCTTTTTTCCTATTATTTTCACATCAGTGTCTTCCTTCTGCTTGTTGCTCAACCCCTCCCCTTTCTCTGATATTGCAACATTTTTACTTTCACTTGCTTTCTTCTTTTTGTGGTGTTTCTTTGAGATTTTGCTGACGTTTGGTTTCCTTGTTACTTCTATTATCTCTTTTTCTTCCGAAGTAACCTCGGGTCCTTTTTCAGTTTTTGTTCCTTGAAGCTCTCTCACAAGACTATCTACCCTCTCATCTTTGCTTTCCAATGGCTTCTCTACGACTTCGGGATGCGTAACCTTTCTATCCTCATTTCCCTCAAGTCCACCTGAACTCTCTAAGGTATCTTCCTTCACTGCATCACCTACATATACTTCAACAAAATTCTTATCTGGCAGACCTGGTGTTAAAGTAAGGTCTTTTTCGTCCTCATTTTCTCCCCTGGCTTCTTTGGCCACCAAATCCAAACCCTCAGTTTCCTTAATCTTTTCATCAAATTCCCAATTTTCTGCTTCTCTAGCTCGTTCGATTTCCAAATTTTCCTCCTTCATTGGTCCCTCATTCTCTCCTTCCAAGTATTCACCCACATCTTCTTCATATCCTTCTTCTTTAACATCCTCATCTACATTGATCTCTCTTTCTTCCTCCGCTCTGCCAACATCTTCATCTTCAACAAGAGTCGGTCCTCCCTCGTATCCACCGCTCTCCAACTCAATCCTCATTTCAACCCCTTCTTTTACATCCTCCATTTCTTTCTTTTCCTCCTCTTCCATCAACATTTCTCCACCAAAACCAGGACCTTTCCCTCCTACTTGTTCATCATCTTCATACATATCTCCATACTCCAACAGTAGAGGTGGCTCTGACCTCGGAAGCAACGTGTTCATAAGTTTCTCAGTACAAGTATAACTAGCAAAAGCAAGACCAAAAGGGACCGAAAATGCAAACCCGAGTGCAGAAATAACAATAAGCGGAGGAAGAACCACTGGGGCAGAAGAGATTACAATACTTGTAATCATAACCTTCTTCCCCAACCCTAATCCTTTGTTCACAATCCATCTTATATTACTCTCTTTCAATTCCCCCTCATCGTCGTCATCTTCCTCTTCTTCTTCCTCATCTTTTAATGAAGTACGCTCCACAATCCTCCACTCCACAATTTGATCTTCCATCCTACAAACAAACCAAAAATATTATTTAAAATGAAAAGAATAACACAAAACCATACTAGTACAACTAAGTCGTTTAAAAAATGAGAAAATGATTTGAAAAATACTTTAACTTGGGTCGAAATTGTTGTTACAATACCAAATTTTATGGAGAACCTTTTATCCACACTATTTAATAGTGTGTTTTGAAGGTATATATGTGCCCACGTGGATACATTATTATTTATTATGATGCAATATTTATGATATCCATGTGGACACATATATGCCTTTCAAATACACTATTAAATAGTGCAGCGTAAAAGGTCTTTTTACAAAGTTACAACAATTTCGGTCAAAGTTCGAATATATTTTAGATTTTTTTCCCTTAAAAAATCAAGCAAAATAAGATAGGAACTCCACGAAAAAGGAATCAATTCCTATATCAAATTCCCTTTTGGTTTGTAATCAGACATCCGAGGAAAATCAATCGAAATAAGCAAGGAGAATCTCTATATATCAGTGGGATTTTCTATTTTTCTTAATTCATTGAGGGATTCAAATTCAAAATATGAAAAAGTAAAATTACGAAGAAACCGAAAATCATTACATATACTATAAACATACGAAAAATAATTTTAATTATGTATAAAAAATTAATTAATGAGATTCAGAGGAACCTGCACTAAGCTCCGCCCCTATATATCCGATAAGTGGAATGATACAATAGTAGTACTTCAACAATAAAACCATAAATAGAAGTAAAATGAAGGAAGAAAACATATATAGATGCCCACTCAAATAAAGAAACAAGAGTATAGCTGACCTCAAAAACGATAGAAGCAACAATTGCACACTTCTACTTGTAAAATTTCATGATAAGAACCAATTTGAAAAGAGAGAAATATTTGATTACCTGAAGATATTTGTTTGACGAGAATAGACAGATAAAGCATGGAGGATGCGTTGGGAAGGGGAAATTCTGGGAGAAGACGACAGGCGTCGTAGTAGGAATGGGATAGCTGCATGCAATATGATGAGGCAATAGCAGAGGTATCCACGTAACTGCACAGTACAGAGGATAACCGCTGCGCATCCCAACGTGCCTTTTTTTCCTCCTATCAACAATAATGGTCCATTATACCTACTATTTTGGAATGTCTAATAATTTTTGTTCACTTTAAAAAATTAATAATTTATTCTTATAATTAATTATAGTTATCCACGGTTGGTTGATTACAGTACGAAAACCTTGAGGGCATTATATATCTAAGTCTTATTAGAATGTTATCCAAAGAAATTCCCTATTACATTTTTAAAAAAATGTATTTATTATATTTAAAAAATAATACAATATAATTACCTTTCTATATATAATTTCTTATAAAATGTGCAAAATCATCCAAAGTTTGGAGTGAAACTCTCTTAAAACTAAAACGAAAAAAAGCAATCCAAAAATAAAATTAAAAAAACTGTTGTAACTACTCCCTCCGTCCACAATTGTTTGGTAGGTATACTAAAAATAGATGTTTAAGATTAATTGTCAATTTAAACAATCAAGAAATAATTAGTCACTTTTTTTCAATTCTGCCCTTAATGATAGTGTAGTTCAATTGAAAAGTTATGTGAACTTTTGGTATTCTTGGTATAGTAGGGTTATATTGTCAAATTATATCTTGTATTAAATTTTCCTTGAGGGTGTACATGACCTTACCCTGACAAACAATTGTGGACGGAGGGAGTAGTAGATAAGTATGGAACAAAGGAGTACTTTTCTTTTTCTTTTCTTTTCTTTTTGGTAATGATGTCATTTGGACTACACGACCACTCAACTCCTTTGAGGCTTTGAGATACAAATTCAATCAAGAAATTGTCCGCCGTATTATTTGAAATCACAATTTAAAATTAACTAAATTATAAATATTTTTTTATAAGAACATTGTGTTTTTGAAATTTCAGAATATGAAATTCAAATTATATATTAAATATTGATTTGATATTATAATATCAAATTACTTATTTAAATGCAGGCTTAAAAAATAGAGTAAATTTTAGATTTAACGAACATAAAAATTATATTTGTATGTTATAGCTATAGTTAGTATAATTGCGCTCCATAGCAAACTTTGGCTATTAATATGTATATTTTGGTATACATATACAAAAGAATCTATTGTATAATCTGTTTCGGTATACATATACAAAAGAATCAATTGTATAATCTGTGTTTGTAAAAAGCGAGAAAGAGAGAAAGACAAAAGAAAACTGGATATGGGAAGATCTGTATTTGTATAATTATAAGTGTATAGGATGAAAATATATGTATTTGTATATACAATTTTCTCTCGTTTTATACAAACACAAACTCAATTTATACATTTGTTTTTGTATAGAGTGATAGAGGCGAGTGAGAGTGGTGAGCGAGATTCTCTGGGGAGAGAGACAAACAAAAAGATATGTATATATATACAGTTTCTCTCACTTTATACAAACACAAATGCATTTTATACATTTGTATTTGTATAAAGTGAGAGAGGCGAGGGAGTCTGGTAGCGAGAAATTCAGGGAGAGAGGCAAATGACAACTGTTTGCTACGGGTTATAATTAAATCAAATTGTGATTATAGCATTTAATTTAAATTAATAATTTACTATTTTATACAATTTTCCCTAAAAAATATCACACTCGATAGTATTTGGATTTGTAAAGGAATTTCAATTTTCTTTTGTATATAAAATATTCTATATATGCAGATTGAATTGAATGAGTTCCTTGCACGTGATTATATACTTGAGTAAATTTGTGTACGTTTCGCGTAATTCTATACATAATAAACTTAGACGACATATCTCCTAGAGTTGTGACTTGTGTGCATTATTATATTCTCTATCCCTAATTACTTGTCCTTTTTTCCTTTTTTAGTTGTGTTTAATTATTTATTCATTTTGACAAATCAATATAGGATAATTTTTTTTTTTTTTTACATATTATACTCTCAATTAATTACTTTGAAAAAGATAGAATTTCTTGAAAATCCTAAGTTTTTAATTCATCCATTTCATAATTAATAGGGGAAAAATGGTAAACTCACTATGTCAATAATTATTTTTTAATAGATATGTCAATTTAAAAATGGATAAGTAATTAGAGACAGAGGAAATAGTATATAAGTCTACAATTAATACACATGTCAACGATGATATGTGTACTTTTTGGAATTACATATTAATAAGGGACATTTTACTCATTTGAATATTTAAATTTTTTTAGAATTTATGAAAAATGTACAAATCATAATAATTAATACTATAAAAAATAGTAAAAAATTCTTAAAAGAACTATAGTGATAAAAGTAAAAATAATAACAAATTTATAAAACAATCATTCACTTTTTGCAAAACGTGTACAAGTTCACTAACGTATAATATAAAAAATGTTGAGAGATCCTAAATTCCTGCCGACAAATCTACTTTAGAAGGTTAATTATGATATGAATTGATATTAAATTGCCTCTGTGTTGCCCTCTCCCGTTAATTACACATGGTTATCTTTTAACAACTACATATTAATTTCTTAATTGTTTAATTTTAGATGAAGACTATGTCAGCTATGGATTTGAACAATTTGGTAGATCCATAATAAAATAAATATAATCTTTTGTATGTATATAACAAGTGGCGACTAATAAAAATTACTTTATATAATAATAATTTTTTGATATAATTAAATTTACTATCTTCGTTAAAATATTATTAAATTATAAAAATCTTATGAAAATAAATTTATATTCAAAATATTGTAATTAACGATTTTTCCATAAATATTTAAGACATTTTCAGAAGGAAATAAAAATATATACTTTTTATCAAACTCTAATTTAAATTATTTATTTTTGTACGTGCACGATGTTAAAAACTTCTCAAATTTAGACACCTGAGTTTTCGATACAGGATGAAGAATAACCTTCAATCCCCCGAGGTGTTATAAAAATATTTTCTCCACTCATTTTTACTTGTCACAGTTTGACTTGGCTCACTTATTAAAAAAATAATTATTGATATAAGTATTTTACCAAACTATCCTCTATTAAATGATGTCTTAGAAAATGATTTGAAAAATAAATATTTAATATTGAGAGTAAAACATGGAGAAAATTATTGTCTTTTCTTAATATGTCAAAAGTAACAAATAAAAAGAAAAATCTAATTTAAGAATAAGTGACAAGTGGTACGTGAACGGATGGAATGGTAGTAAACATAATCATTCTTTGCATTAAAACTCTTTTGTATATTCCATTTTTTCGTTATACTTATTCCTTCAACAAATAACGGATACATCACACCTACTATCTTCGATTGTATGCGTAACAAAAGATTGTTGTAATGTTAATTATACAAAATAACAAAGTAAAAGAAATTTCAAATTTAACATAAATAATTATTTACCTTGACAATGATAATTACATGAAGAGATATCCATGTCACGGCAGAGACGAGACCACAGCTAAGAAGGTGAAGAAGATTGTAGATATCACGATTGGAATAAATTGATTTATACGGTGATAATTTTTTTCTTTAACTATTTTTATTAAACCTTTTAATCCAATACTAATTTATTTAGATTTGCCTCTGTGAATTATTTTCAATGTGGAGTGCCATGTTACGGAAATTTTAAATAAAATAGAGAATGTGCACACATCATCATAAATTAGTCGATGTGTAGTTCAGGTAGAAAACTCACACTTTCAATAATTTAAGTATGAAATAAAAAAAATTAGAATTGTTTAGATGTGTTTTGATAACTCTAATTCTTATTTTTATAATATAGGTGTCAACGCATTATAAATTATGCCTATCAAATTTCTTGACTTGAACGGAGAAAATTAGTGGACAAACGCGCTTATAAGAATTTCTAGACAAATATTTAATCTACATCTAACTTCTAAGTGATTAAGTGTATTTCGCGAACCATTGAATTAAAAGATAACTTTTAACTCACTCAATAATTCAAATATGAAACTCAGTAAACGACATAGCTTATATGTAATTTGGATCCTTTTTAACTATAAAAATAAGAATCCTACTTGCAGATTATTTATTGCCATACATTTATGATTAGTTAACTATAAGAAGAAAAGTTACCCCCTTCACCTAAAACTGTTTGCAGCCATTGCGCCTATTTAATTTTTCTTTGATTGAGGGAGGCCGACCTGAGGATTCTCTTATACGGGGATGGTAATAAGATGGGGTGGGTTGAGCTCACAAAATTTTAATCCGCTTTTTGTTTCACGTAATAATTTTTTTCATTTTCAATTCGTGTCACATAGACTTGTCCCGCTTGAACCCATTCTGCATAAGTAATATTTTCCTTTTTTAGTGAAGTATGATACTAAAAATAAGATTTATAAAATTAAATTCATTTTCTCATTAAGTAATATCAATTTAATAGATAATGACTTAAAATTTTATTTTTTAGAACCCAATTGGGAAGTATGTAAGAAGTTGTATTAGTTTTGGTTGAACCATTTTCATTTACTATCTTGAATATTTTAGTAATCTTAAAGAAACTATCTTAATAGATAATATCTATCACTCTTATAGTATGTAAAAGTTAAAATTAAGTTTAAATCCGCATAGATCCGCAAACCCACCCTGCCCCATATTTATTTTAAAAAATCCACTTCAACCCCCGCAACCCTCATTGCACAATCTTAAACCCGCCCCGTCCTGCATAACCCTAAACCTGCCCACCCTGCCCCATTCACATCCCTACTCTTATATATATATATATATACTAGACAATGGAGCTCGTGCCAGCGCGAGCCCAATATATAGTATTTATTGTCTTATTTTATGTGATGTAATTATGGTCAAATTAAAATTTGAAATGACTAAAAAGTACTAAAACCATAATAATTATAATTAACAACTTATAAAGACATATAAAAATATTTAAAAGACATAAAATATTTGATTGATTCTCAAAATTTTATAGATGCCACCGTGCCACATAAATTGGAACAGAAAAAGTTACTTATATTATCTGAAAATTATG